TGGTGCGGGCAGGAGGGCGGGGGCCGAGGGAGAGCTCAGCTGGGTGCCCAGGTGGCGGTGGCAGTGGCACTCCCTCCCTCCCTTCCTTCTCGGGGTTAACAAGTCATCCCAGGTACTCAGGTGATGGGAGTCAAGGGAATATAACGAGGTGAAAATATGACCCCAGCCACTTTACAACCCCCCCACTTCTTTAGAAGAGCAACAGGTTTGTCTTTTGCAGGGGCACAAGTGGCCACACCCCCCTCAGCAGGACAGGACCCAGGCAGAAGCTGCACACAAATGCATTTTATTGCTCTCTACAGACACAGAGACGCATACACAGTATGCACATGAGCCACGGGGCTGTCCCAGCAGCGGGACGAACAGTATTCACCATGAATTCAACCACTCCATACAGACAGAAATCATTATTATAATGAAAATGCTAGAAAAAGCATAGCTTACACCCAAAATGTATAACATTGACAAATCAAGCCTTTTACCTACTACCTTTTCTTTAACATAAAGCAGTAACATACTCTTTTTCTAAATTGAAAAAAGCAGCAAAATAGTAGAAATATTCCACATAGTTTCCTAGCTTCTGTTCATCCATCACACTTTATATACTAGGACTATAAAGGGTCACTGGGGGAAATTTCAAACCAAAACAAAACCCACCTTTGATGCTCTACAAGGTATAAGCAAACAGAGGGAAATTGATTTTAACCAAGTGTGCATGAACTAAAGGGTAGTAAATTTATCCTCCAGAGTGACTGAGCAAACAAGTGTCGCCAGCCAAGCCAGAGCAAAGCTGCTGGCTCCTAGGAGCAACCTGAGAGAAATCTCTCCTACAGCAATCCTCATCTGTCACATCTGTAACAGTTACAAAAACACCCTCCTTCATTTCGGAGACATTCGCCCCTGACTGGGCCGCACGCTGTGTCCTGTGACCAGCAGCCCCTACACAGCTTCAGTACCACTCACAGAATGCCTGAACTTTTCCCAAAGGATCCCATAAAAGTCAAACGACTGTCATCCTTTCCACACATAAATAAAATACTCGGGGAGATAAAATTCCCTACAGAAAAGAGGATCGGAGCTGGACTGTCAGATGCAGTCAGATCCTTCCTCTGGACTGTAAAAGCCAAAGGTCCATGCAGGAAGGACTCCCCGGACTACCAGGGCCTCCAGAGAGCACCGGAGTCTTTCGGAGATGCTTGCTTCAGGGTGCTGGGGTTCCCCATGGGAAGGGCCACCTCCGGAGCAGCAGACTGGCTCTTCTGGAAGTGGCTCAGCAGTTTGGTCTGTGTTTCAGTTCGGACTTTATGAAGAGAGAGGAAATGGAAAGCTTCTTGCAAACACCTAGAGTAGCCCTCTCTGAAGTCAAACTGAGAGCTTTTATGGAAGGATCCTGCAGCTGGTCAAGGGAAGAAGAAGGAGAGAGAAGAAAGAACAGTTTAGAGCAATTGTTTGTGGCTAGAGATTCATAAAACTGTCACAGACTTGCAGTGAGCTGGAGACTGAAACAAAACTCAACACTCACCCTTCATCTGCAGCTGGCTCTGCTGCTTCAGGTAGCTGACTGTCATCTCCAGGATGTCGGCCTTCTCCAGCTTGGAGTTGGGCTGGTGTCTCTGAAACTCCTTCTCCAGGAGCAGCTTCAGCTGCTCGATGCTGCTGTTAATCCGGTCCCGGCGCATCTTCTCCACCACCGGCTTCCTCAGCTGTAAAAAGCAAAGGAAAGGAGACCTGTTATTGGAAGATCTTCTCCCAGCCAGTCCACAGGACTGTTTGTGGCCCATCTCTGCTCCTAAACAACGGGGACCAGTCTCCCAGCTGGTGTGAGCTACGAGAACAGCTGAGAGCGCGGCTCGAGGCCGCCTGGCTGCGCCTGGACTTACTTTGTTTTTCTCCTTTGGCGTCAGCAGGTTGTCCGGCTCCAGGAAAACAGTGCTGGGAGCCATCTGTCTGAGGAGGGAAGGCGGGTCTCGGGGTGGAAGCCCAGGAGGAGCGTTGCTGGAAGCTGCCTCTGCCCGCTCTTTATAGGGCGCAGCCCCCCGGCAGGCCTGTGGGGCT